GCATCCTTGTGTGTGCCCCGGCGATCTCCATGATCGCGGTGTCCTACGGATACAGCTGATCACCGGTAAATGCAGTTGCTGGTTATCAGCTGCACTTTCCTTGCGCTGTCACAGCGTGCGGAAAGTACTGCCGATAACTGGCAATTGACGGAGGACTGATCAGCACCAATTATCAGGGAACTGATGATCAATGCCCAGTAGTGCCACCCACAAGTGCCCAGCAGTGCATAGTAGTGCCACCCACCTGTGCCTAGCAGTGCCACACATCAGGGCAAAGCAGTGCCCGCCCAGCAGTGCCACCCACCAGTGCTGCCTTTTTTTTCAAATTTTTTTTCTTTTTTGTTTATAGAGCAAAAAATAAAAACACCCAGTGGTGATTAAATACCACCAAAAGAAAGCTATATTTGTGTGAAAAAAAAAAATGGTACAAATTTCATATGGGTACAGTGTTGCATGACCGTGCAATGGTCAATCAAAGTGCAACAGGTGCTCTATGGGATTGAGATCTGGACTCATTGTTGGACAATTCAGTACTCTTTAGCGCTAACAATTTCTGGGTGCTTTTTGACGTGTGCTTTGGTCATTGTCCTACTGAGAGACCCATTACCTCTGACGGAGACCCAACTTTCTGATACTGGGCCCTACATTGCACCCCAGAATTTGGTAGTCTTCAGATTTCATAATGCCATGCACACAGTCAAGACATCCAGCGCCTGAAGCAGCATAGTGACCCCAAAACATCAGTGAACCTCCACCATGTTTGCCTGTAGGGACTGTACTGTTTTCTTTAAAGGTCTTATTTTTCTGAAAACAATGGAATGATGGTCTTTGCCAAAAAGCTGTAATTTTGTTTCGTCTGTCCACAGCACATTCTCCCAAAAAGAATTTGGCTTCCTCAGGTAAGTTCTGGCAAACTCCAATCTGGCTTTTTTATGCTTCTGTGTCAGCAGTGTTCTCCTGGGTCTCCTAGCATAGCGTCACTTTTCATTCAGATGGCGACGTATAGTGTGAGCGGACATAGTGGTACCCTGTGCTTGAAGGTCAGCTTGAATTTGTCTGATCAAGGTCCTTTATCCTCTAAATAATCCTTTGTTGCAATCTTTGATTTTTTTCTTTCATCCATGTCCAGGGAGATTAGCTACGGTGCCATGGGCCGCTTCTTGACAATGTTGCGCACAGTGGACACAGGAACATTTAAGTGTTGCTAAACCCACAAAAGTAAAATCAGTTTGTACATGCAATAAAGCATGCTTGTTATACTCACTGTGGAACCTAAGGGTTAATCCTCCACATTGTGTAGAGGATGTTTGATCTGGTCTTCTCTGATCTTCCCCTTCTACTGTCCTCATTCCATCTGCTAATTGAACAGAGCCTTGGGGGTAAGCTGCCCATGCTCAGTTTGGTGTGTATCGCTAGAGTTTATTTCTTGGGAGAGTGATTGCGATTAGCACAGGGCCAAACAGCGCTGTCCAGACAGTGGGTCAGGGGTCATGCAGCCTCATAGGACAACCAGGGGAGAAAAAAAAAAACTTCACCTACAAGCTTTACCCAGTGCTCTCCTGGACAATGATAAAGTCACAAGACTGCTCTAACTGCTGATGAGAAAAGGTATTTAGCAGTTTATATTTACTAAAATAATTGCATTTCTATGCTCTGTGTACTGTGGGAGACCAGACATAGTGCATGCAGGGTCCTGGGTTTAAGAATACTTTAAGGAGGTTAACCGAGAGATAGCAGCAACATTAAGAGTGGCCAAATCAACAGTTTGGTACATTCTGAGGAACGAAGAACGCACTCGTGAGCTCAGCAACGTAAAAAGGCATGCACGTCCAAGGAAGACAATGGTGGATGATTGCAGGATCCTCTCTATGGTAAAGAAAAAACCCATTCACAACATCCAGACAAGTGAAGGACACTCTCCAGGAGGTGGACAATGATCCAAAACACACTGCAAAAGCTTTTGAAGGAAAAGAAGTGGAATATTCTGCAATGGCCGAGTCAATCACCTGATCTCAACCCAATTGAGCATGCATTTCACTTGCTGAAGGCAAAACTAACAGGCAGAAAGAGAGACCCACAAACAAAAGACAGCTGCAGTTAGAGCCTGACAAAGCATCAGAAAGGAGGAAACCCAGTCTTTGGTAATGTCCATGGGGTCCAGACTTCAGGCATTCGTTGCCAGTAAAGGATTCTCAAAATATAAAAAAAATTAACATTTTATGATTATATTCAATTGTCCAATTACTTTTGGTCCCTTGAAAAAGGGAGGGTGGCTACTCTTAAGAGCTGTAATTCCTGAACCCTTCCTCCTATTTGGATGTACATACACTCAAATTACACCTGAGAGTGTGCACTTTCAGCCTATATCCATTATATAAACTATAGCTTGAATATGTTTTGGTACATACCTGAAAAGAAAAACAAGAACAAAAAAACTGTGCCTGTGTCCAAATATATATGAACCTAAGTGTGTGTTTTACACACACAACCTCAGAAGTACAGTACACCCCTCACATTTTTGTAAATATTGGATTATATCTTTTCATGTGACAACACTGAAGAAATTACACTTTGCTACAATGTATAGTAGTGAGTGTACAGCTTGTATAACAGTGTAAATTTGCTGTCCTCTCAAAATAACTCAACACACAGCCATTAATGTCTAAACCGCTGTCAACAAAAGTGAGTACACCCCTAAATGAAAATGTCCAAATTGGGCCCAATTAGCCATTTTTCCTTCCTGGTGTCATGTGACTCCTTGGTGTTATAAGTTGTCAGGTGTGAATGGGGAACAGATGTGTAAAATTGGGTGTTATCACTCTCACATACTGGTCACTGGAAGTTCAACATGGCACCGCATGGCAAAGAACTCTCTGAGGATCTGAAAAAAAGAATTGTTGCTCTACATAAAGATGGCCTAGGCTATAAGAAGATTGCCAAGACCCTGAAACTGAGCTGCAGCACCGTGGCCAAGACCATACAGCGGTGTAACAGGACAGGTTACACTCAGAACAGGCCTCGCCATGGTCCACCAAAGAAGTTGAGTGCACGTGCTCAGCGTCATATCCAGAGGTTGTCTTTGGGAAATAGACATATGAGTGCAGCCAGCATTGGTGCAGAGGTTGAAGGGGTGGGGGGGTCAGCCTGTCAGTCCTCAGACCATACGCCGCACACTGCATCAAATTGGTCTGCATGGCTGTCGTTCCAGAAGGAAGCCTCTTCTAAAGATTATGCACAAGAAATACCGCAATTTGCTGAAGACAAGCAAACTAAGGACATGGATTACTGGAACCATGTCCTGTGGTCTGATGAGACCAAGATAAATTTATTTGGTTCAGATGGTGTCAAGTGTGTGTGGCGGCAACCAGGTGAGGAGTACAAAGACAAAGGTATCTTGCCTACAGTAAAGCATGGTGGTGGGAGTGTCCTGGTCTGGGGCTGCATGAGTGCTGCCAGCACTGAGAAGCTACAGTTCATTGAGGGAACCATGAATGCCAACATGTACTGTGACATACTGAAGCAGAGCATGATCCCCTCCCTTCGGAGACTGGGCCTCAGGGCAGTTATTCCAACATGATAACTACCCCAAACACACCTCCAAGACAACCACTGCCTTGCTAAAGAAGTGGAGGGTAAAGGTGATGGACTGGCCAAGCATGTCTCAAGACCTAAACCCTATTGAGCATCCTCAAATGGAAGGTGGAGGAGCGCAAGGTCTCTAACATCCACCAGCTCCGTGATGTCGTCATGGAGGAGTGGAAGAAGACTCCAGTGGCAACCTGTGAAGCTCTGGTGAACTCCATGCCCAAGAGGGTTAAGGCCGTTTTGGAAAAAAAATGGTGGCCACAAAAAACACTGATACTTTGGGCCTAATTTGGACATTTTTACTTAGGGGTGTACTCACTTTTGTTGCCAGTGGTTTAGACATTAATGGCTGTTGGGTTATTGTGAGGGAACAGCATATTTTATATCTATCTCACCACTGCAGTATGTGCATCCAGCATCCCTCGTTTGTGCTGGAAGCACACTCCCTCAGTGTTCCCAGCACAGTGACCGCACTGTCAGCAGCAGCTCTTGGTCCCTGTTTACAATTGAGAGCCAGTGAGATGGGCTCCCTTTTGCGCAGCCACTCTGGCAGCAAATCACATGCCCTGAAAGCCCATGCAACTCCGAGCATTATGGGATTTTAGAAGGGCTGACTCCTGCAAGCTGGAAAAAGTTAGGGACAGTTGACATGGAGATCGCACAGAACGCAACATGCACTCCTGTGCGATTCCTGCACATACCCATGTGGTGCGATTTTTCGGTCTATTCAATTTAATGAGCTGAGATCCGAACAGAAAACAGAGAAAGTAGTGCATGCAGTACATTTTAAACAACAAGCTGCATCAAACTGCAGAGTACTGATGTACTTGGGGTGCAGTACACTGGCACCCCCTGCAGATCAAAAAGGCAGTGCGTTTGAGTACAGTGAAGAAAACAGGCATGGAACGTGCCTTATCCACATCATGTTCTGGTATGAATAGGCCCTCAAACTGCATTCAGCTGGAGCCCTGGTTCACACTGATGTGGTGCGGAATTCGCAGCATTTTCTGTGTGAATTCCACACCGCACCAAAATCGCACCGTTCATGCGAACCGCTGCGGGTGTGTATGTTAAGTTAACAACACCCCGAAAGCGGTCCGCAAAACACGATGCAATGTGCAGAATTGGATCACATAGATGTGAATAGCCATACGATCCAATTCAAGTGCGGACCAAAAAAAAAGGGTCTTTCGGTGCGGGTTCAGAGTGGTTAAAGCCATACAGTATGTATGGCTCCAATCGCACCACACACAAATCGAATGTGATTTGCACAGGAATGCGGTGTGGTTCCTGTGTGAATCACATATGATATACCGCACATATGTGAACCTAGGCAGAGAGAGAACATGCAAATTTTAGCTATGTACACAGGTCTTACCTACATTTAACACACTTCTGAATTTGTTTTCGCTTACCTGCTGTTTCTGATATGCAGTATTTGGATTTATCTTTGATTCTAAAAGCAACGAACCTGAAAAAGATACAACAAAATTAAACATCAAGGCACCAAATAAACAACATTAAAAATGTTACAAAACATTGATTAAAAGTATATATAAAACCTTTGGAAAGAGTAGTGAAGGATTAGAATCGCTTAGGTTTTGCATCTCTGTTGGAAAGATTCCTTCACTCTGTTTGGTAAAAAGGTGGTCCCCAGGACAGGTAGGGAAGGGAAATCTCTATCAGCAACACAGAAGTAAAAACGTTTTTAGTTAAGTAGAAGATTATTAGAATTCCTGTCAGCATTTTATTGTCATCTGTTTTCCTGTTACAGATTTTCCCTCACTGCCTGTAAAAAAAACGTCACCAAAATGGAAGGTGAGGCATTTTAGACATCAACTATTCAAGCATGGCATAGATCAATCATTTAGAAAGGTAATTTGGTCAGAACTGCCATAGGTAGACATAAAGTAACTGAACTAGAATCAGGGTTCAAAATGTCAATAAATGATGTCCTTAGTCCTCAAAAATAATATATACCAATCCACTACTTAATACCTCTTTAATCGATTTTTGATGAAATCATAACTTAGTTTTTCTACTTCCTTGTAACTTCCTCTGACAGATCCCACACCTGTTACCCCCTTACTTCTATTCTGAATGAGCAGTGCACATTAGCTGCAATCATTTGTACTACTCTATGCACACTATGTATACACTATAGTCCTTGGAGGAGGGCAAAAGAAGGTAAAGGAAAGAATACATACTTCAAATCAAATGTATTATTTTATTTTAAACTAGAGTTTCAGGAACACCTCATTTCCTGGGATTTATCCAGCACTGCTACGACTACAAGTGTCAGTGTATGTGGTCAGTGTATTGCAGTACATCTGGATTTGGAGCTAGACACATATTTTGGTCATGAGCCTGTATGGCAAAATCTTTTACAAGCCTAGCTTTCTGACAATATGGTAAGGTAACATGGGTAATATTTTCATGAAACCAGTACATGGTATTACATCTATTATCTTTTATAAAGTCAACAATTTCTGTAGCTTTGACTTTTATTAAAAGGGCACTTACCTGTCCAGGGATCCAGCGCTGTCCTCATGTGAACTGGTTCAACGGTCTTCAAGGCCCCAGCTCTGGCATTTTTAGTATGGGAAGCAGACTGACAGCTTGCGGCTTCACAGCCAACTTCCTACTGCGCATGCACAAGCCAAGCTGCACTTTGTGAATGGTCCAGCAGTCTTCTGGCACATGTGACATGACCCTCAGGACTGGGGGCAAAGAGTTGATGGGGGGAGGGTGAGGCTTTTTTGGGTTCCGCTTTAAGGAGCTTACAATCTAAGGTCCCTATATCACATACCTACATACTAAAGTCAAAGTGAGCAAGAGCCAATTGACCTAACAGAGTTTACTGCTAACGTACAAATCTTTGAAACTATAAAAAGGTTCTTAGAAACGTCTCTGCTGAGCAGTCAGTTGGCCGTTTCTCTACGTTACACATACATCACCCAATCAATCAAAAACCCCAATTGTGTGCTTACATTTGTTTTGTATTGTACAGGGGTGCAATCTGCAGCCATATAATAAGCTTGAACACTATGAAGTAAAACGCTATTAATAGCATCTCTGAGTTGATGTTTATAATACATGCCTATGTCGCAGTGTTCACTTTCCCAAGAAACCAATGAACAATTTATGAAACCAAAAAGGTAGAAATGTCAAAGGAATGCTTGTAAACAACTTAAAGTGGACCTCTACACACCAATAAAACTTAGACACATTACAATCTTGTCCCCTACTTGTAATCCAATCACAAGTCTTTTTTGGGATGAAAGCAGCAAGCAACTTTCCCAGCAAAATACACGCTTCCACTTGCTCGCTCCTCACTTAGGTAAAGGTACACCCTCCTCACCTATCTGCAGCCTCAAGGATCTGGGACACTCTGTGAGCAGTTGACAGTCACTCACTTGCGCAGCTAGCGGGGAGCCGGGTAAGTGATCGGGAATTTAGATCTAGCTATCAAACCCATGGAGGCAATGCAGGGAAAAAAACTGCAAGGAATTAAGGTTTGAAGAAAACAGCACTGGACTTCATGGGCTGGTAAGTACATTTTTTAATTTTTTTTTTTTTTTCTCAAAGTTAGCAACTACAGTACTGACGACTTATTTGATAGCTGGGCCCCATTCAGACCTAGCAATTTGAAACGCACGTTTATTCACGAGATGCAAAGGCCATGCCTAAGAATTTTAATGGGCTGCCCTATGCGTGGCAAAGTAGCGCATGGATGTTTTGCATGTTTGCTTGCCATGTTTAGGGTGCCATTAACAAACAATGGCACTGAAAGCGCAACCCGTGTTTGGGGAAAATATGCACATGTGAACGTAGCCTAAAGTGGACCTGAATTTATAGAGAAGATTTGCGATTTTATAGGAAACCATCCACAAATATTAATTATGCCTAAGCAGTAATAAGAAAAATAGAACATTTGACTTAAACTGTCCAAAAAAAAAAAAAAAAAAAAAAAAAAAAAAAAAAGGAAGGTTTGTGATAGTGCCTAAACACTCCCGTGTCCACAACATCCTCATTGCTGTATATCTGCAGTGTACGATCTAAGGCACTGCTGCTTCTGATTAAGGAATTACTGAAGCCAATGGATTTGCATAAAAGCCAGCCTTTTCAGAAAGGCAGCAATGGAAGCTTTGATATTCTCAGTATAGGTTTATTTTCAAAAAACCTTCACAGGCCCTTGCGTCAGCACATAGGGAGGAAAACGGAGAATGCTTGCCATGTGAAGTTTGTATTTCCTTAAGTGTAATTAAATCCTCCATGTAAAAAAACATTATACAGCGCTACACTTTAGCGCTTACTCTGATGTATGCCTTGTTTGCAATTCTCCTTTAAAATTTCCATACCATTAGTTTCCCTTTTAAGGGGAGCTCTGCTACCTTGCAGGAAGCCCTGTGGGGTCTTGTCGCAGCCACCCGTATGCGTGTACTCCCGTTGAGGGATACAGCCTGCAGTGAGTGAAAAAAACCAACATGAACTACTTAGGACAGGCACACAAGTGCTTTCTTATGATAGCACAATGGGACTTGTAGCTCCAAAGCCCAGAACATGTAACTTGTAACATTACAGTGCACAATTTAGCCTGAAACTGCCACTTGTCTTAGCCGAACCTAGTATGGCTGTGTACATGTGAAAACCTTAGTCAATGCTACTCCTTGGGCCATGCCCCCTGACGTGTTTCACTCCACCCACCAGGGCTTAATCATAGGGGTAGGGAGTAAGAGCTGAATAACACAATTTATACATAATTGGCTGTGAAGAGTGAAGGGATGACACATGTGCATGTGATTGTAATGAGAAATGTGTTGCACATCCATACTAGGATTGGCTAAGGCGAGCAGTGGTTTCAAGCTAAAATATTCACTGGAAGCGTATTTCTTACGCTAGTATCCCTATTATCCTGAGTGCCAACGCGGCTCTACACCTCAGCCTAGAGCGGCAACGCCAAGTACTTATCGTCTTATTACAGTGCACAAAGCTCAAACAGAAGTACAGGGAAGAGGCACCAAGTAAGAAGGACCAAGCAGCTTTTATTTATGAACACCTAAGCAAGTGTTTTTGCACATAGTTTACAAATGAAAGTAAAAGTTGAACTTCAGGAATTCATCCACTTTGTAAAAATGTGCTGGCTTACTATGTGCATGTCACCTCATGGACTTAATCACTTATTTACAGCTGACAGTTTTACTGAGCACTGGGAGCACAGCTACCCCTATACTCTTTGCACTCTCTCACCAATCCCTTCTGCTGTTCATGAATGGGAAGGAGGGGAGAACACAGTGGCTGCATGCAACAACAGCTGCTGGAGCTGGGACCAGAAGGTCCAGCCATGGAGAGCCATAAGTTTGTCGATAGCTATGCTCCCAGAACTTCATAAAAATGTAAACTGTAAATTAAAGAAGTCCACATGGTAGCCTTCAACTTTTTTGGCTTTAACCCACAGTAATCCAGCATATTATAAAAAGTGGTTGAATACCTGGAGTTCAGCTTTATTGTGCGTGTTTGCCTTGAGGAAAAGAATATATATTAAAAAACAAAACAAAAAAAAAAACAACCCACACACCTTATAACTAAGCAGTTTTTTTCTAACAAACCTTTCACAGTCCCTGGCTATACAATTAAACAGGTGATAAAAAAAAAAATGAATTCAAAGAGTACACCTTCACTGAAAACCGCATGCCATAATAATCAGCAGACTCTGGGATATTCATATTTGAAATAACGTGCAAATCTCAACCTTTTCTGTAAGGGCTTGTCCAGACATGCAGCAGCACCGGCTGCCCTTCTAAAAAGTGATTTGAAGTGGATTGCTTTGTAGAGGAGAGTTGAGGGGCTGGGGGTCATATGATTACTTCCTTGCATGCTTTAACCCTCAATATACTGAACCACTGCATTACAGCTGCGTACATTGAACAAAGTTGTGTCACAGCCCATTAACTTGAATGAGTCAAAGGGTATTACAATTTTGCCACAGCATTGTGAACAGCCCTGGGTGGGTGGTTGGAGGGAAGTAATACTGCAGTTCAACCACCTGCTTCTACAGTCCTAGGCCACCCGTTTGAACAAACTCTAAATGTTGAATTTTCTCTCCCCTCTTTATTGGTCACAAAAGTGACCACTAGTCTTATACAAACTTCAGGGACTTCTAAGTGGTCCTAGGCGTAAAAGCCCATTCAGGGGCGGTGTGACAAGTTTTTTTTTTTTTTTTTTTTTTTTTTTTTTTTAAGAAAAGAACCCTCATTCAATTGTACTCCCTTTCTTTTCACTCTCAAGTCTCTTCGGATGTCCACCCCCTTGTAAACTCAGTGTTGGATGGTGTGGCAACTTAGTTTACTGCATCATCGTCCCTCCCAATGCAACAGTGTTCAGGCTTGCAGAAAGGCTGCTAAGGATCCAGCAACGCATCCTAGGAGGAGGTCACATGCTTCCCCTTTCCCATAAGCACTGGGTAGTTGC